GGACCCCCCCTCCCCCCCTCAGACTCCCCTAACCACCACTTAGAACACGCCTCGCCCCTTTGCAGAGACTAACTTGGCTTTTGCAAAGGGGTCGGCGGATTTTTTCCTCAGGAACGATATAGCGAAGCCCCAAAAACGATAACGTCGCATGACGTGCAACTGGCGCTTCGCGCTTCTATTTTGCACTGTGTGAGCCTTTTTTTGCCCCAAGCTGTAAGTTGCCATGACTGCTCCTGTCAATGCTCCTCGGCAATGCATGGTGGGCACATGTGTGCACGAGATGGGCCCACCCAGATGGATCGCTAACGCACCCGCGCACACGCACACGCACAGGCGCCCGCAGGCACCGGCGCACGCTGCGACCTTCGAGCTGGAGCTGCCAAAGTGTAACTTGCGTACTGCGCTGGTACTGAAAGTTGCGACTTGCGACCTGGAAGTTGCAGCCAGGAAGCAAAGCCGCCAATGCTTGGGAGCCAGAGAATCATAGTCTAGTCCGCTGATCACATGACTACCGCAAGGTAGAGAGGGATCTTGTGCGCTTGCTTGGCTCTAGCTTATAGCAAGTTTGTTTCACTACACGCGCCCAGAACGATACCCAAAACGACACCCCATCGATACTCCGAGAACGTCCCGGAGCAGCCAATGTGAGGCCTACCTAGCGCGTTTGCTTTTTCAACCACACGCGCAGCTCCTTCAGCGCACATCCTTCCGCGCACACAAAGGGCCCGCAACGGGCCAGGCCGCGGACGCCTTGGCGGGCTTGCGCTTGCTCCTCAGAGATCTGCTGCTGCAGGAGGATGGGAAGGCCTGACTTGCCCGAGCAGATCTGTGATCCGGAAGGCTTTGGAGAAGAGCCCGAGCTCCAAGAGTGCTGCCGCAGAAATTGCTCACTGCAGGGGGTTCGCCGGGCACTTTCCAAATCCGCACGGCGTCGCAGGGAGGGCGCTTTGACACGCGCAATCCTTGCAGAGGGTTCATTGGGCGCTTTGCGCGCTCGCGAGACCCGAGCAGAGGGTTCTTCGGGCACTGCACCCACGCGCGAAACGCGGAGAACCATAGGGGTCTCGTTTAAAGTAGAATGAACACAGCCCACACAGCAAATATTGACGCTGGCTCATGAGTCACGGTCAAAATATGCGTCGATCACTGTATCAAGGCGGGGTTGGTCTTTGGGTTCCGGAACTGCACGCCTTGTTTTTGTGGTTGCCGGAAGGGCCAAACCATACCCACAAGCCAGCCAAACCATACCCACAAGCCACTGGACACTCAAGATGCGCCTATTGGGTCAAAAGCTACACTCCCCGGCTTGTTACTCAAAACTGCGTTCCCCGGCTTGCTATTTGGAGGTTGCTGGAAGGGCCAAACCATACCCAAAAGTAATTTTAGAGCGTCACTCGGGGAGTGTGAACTGCATTCTGGGCCACCGATTGCTCTCCTTCCTACTGCTCATGCTTCTTGCTTGCACCCGCAGGCGCCACAGTCGGCATGCCAAACCATACCCAAAACTACTTTTGGAGCGTCGAAAAACACCTTTTCGGATCACTCGGGGAGTGTGAACTGCATTCTGGGCCACCGATTGCTCTCCTTCCTACTGCTCATGCTTCTTGCTTGCACCCGCAGGCGCCACAGTCGGCACGCCAAACCATACCCAAAAGTATTTCGGAGCGTCGAAAACACATTTTCAGATCATTCGGGGAGTGTGAACTGCATTCTGGGCCACCGAAGTTCTGCTTGCTCTCCTTCCTACTGCTCACGCTTCTTGCTTGCGCCCGCAGGCGCCACGGTCGGCACGCCAAACCATACCCAAAAGTAATTTTAGAGCGTCGAAAACACCTTTTCGGATCATTCGGGGGGTGTGAACTGCATTCTGGGCCACCGATTGCTCTCCTTCCTACTGCTCATGCTTCTTGCTTGCACCCGCAGGCGCCACAGCAAACCACACCCAAAAGTACTTTTGGATCGTCGAAAACACCTTTTCGGACCATTCGGGGAGTGTGAACTGCATTTTTTGCCACCGAAGTACTGCTTGCTCAAAACGATACCCAAAACGACACCGAAACCACACCCCTCGTGCTCGAAAAGAGCTTGTGGACTCAGAAGTGGAGCCGTAGCCCAAGTAAAAGGTGCTGCATGGTGCTGCTGTGCTTCAAGTTGTTTATAAGTCTCGCTTGCAGCTACCAAGTCACCGGACAGCAGTCCGGGCTGCGAGGCGCACGCACGCAACGTGTAGCTGGTTTTGGCACATGCCCTGGACTGAGAGAATATGGGCAAAATTTTCTGGTTTTGGAGGGCTGTCTGAACGATACTCTGAACGATACCTCAACAACACCCGGAAAGCACAAAAGGTGGGCGCCGCTTACCCATCAATCACTCCACCTCCCATGCTTGTGGGCGGTCTGGAACCAGAGTCAAAAAGCATGTCATGGAGCATCCTGCCTTCCTGCCTTCCTGCCTTCCTGCCTTCCTGCCTTACTGCCTTACTGCCTTCCTGCCTTCCTGC